TTACACAGTTTTTTCATTTTTCTTGGAGTATCTGATTGCTTTTCTTTAACTTGTTGAATGCTGTGCCTTCATCATACCCTCTAGTTTCCCTTTTCTCAAATATAACAATTATTGCATGGACTCACTCTCTCCCTTCCACTCCCCTGTATGGAGAACTCCTTCACAGAGAAATCCCATCACCTTCTCTATTCTGGAGTGGCAGCTCTTCAGTTGCCATCCTAGGATTTCCCTTCACTGCTTCTCTGAATTGAATCCACTGTTTCCCGGATCTCTTTCTTGATTTGCTTAATTTGCTGTAGTATATACTCAAATACAGTAATCCCCCACTATCTGCAGGTAATACATTTCAAGACCCCCAGTGGATGCCTGAAACCATGGATAGTACTGAACCCTATATATACTATGTTTTTTCATATATATATTATATGTAATATGTTATATACATATTATATATATATATATGTATATATATATATATATAATAAAGTTTACTTTATTTATTTATTTATTTTTAAGCTGAGCCATCCTGCCACCTGTTGGCAGCTCAGCGGCTGCTCATATTGGGCTGGGCATCGAACAGCTATTGCTCAGAGCTCAAACTCTTGAGTGAGCTCTTAACCAACTGAGCCACTCGGCCAGCCCAATAAAGTTTACTTTATAAATTAGGCAAGTAACAGATTAACAACAATAATAAAATAGAACAATTATAACAATATACTGTAATAAAAGTTATGTGAATGGCTTTGAGGCCATTATTAAGTAAAGTAAGAGTTACTTGAATACAAGCATTGCAATACCACAACAGTCGATCTGATAATCAAAATGGCTACTAAGTGACTAGTGGGCAGGTCTAACATATATAGCATGGATACGCTGGACAAAGAGAAGATTCACATCCAGGGTGGGATGGCACAAGACTTTATCACGCTACTGAGAATGGAGCAGAATTTAAAACTTACGAATTTATTGTTTTTGGAATTTTCCATTTAATATGTTTGGACTGTGGTTGATGGCAGCTAACTGAAACTTTGGAAAATGAAACCGGAAAAAGTGGGGGTGGGGGGGCTACTGTAACTCTAGGAAAACAGGAGGTCAACTTTCTGAGTTTTTAAATGTCTTCATTATAACGTCTTCATATTGAATTGATAACTTGGCAGGATGTCAAATTCTGAGTTCAAATCCATTTCCCCAGAGTTGCCAATGAGAATCTAATAGCATCCCAATTCTTGTTCCTATTAAGGTGATCTTTCTTTCTCTCTGGAAGCTTTAAATATCATCTCTTCACAGTGTTTTCCTAAAATTTCGGGAGGACATGTTTATGTGTGCCCTTTTTATTTTTATTATTTTTAAGATTTTATTGGTGAATTGGGGGAGGGAAAGAGCGTTGGGGAATCGGGGAAGGGGAACAGACAATAGCTGTCCTTTTGTTCTTCAATCTAGTTGTGGAGGACATCGCTTCACTGGCCCATGTTGGTATTATAATTGCGCTCTTCCTGAATGATCAGTCACCAGCCTCTGGATCGCCGCTCATGGTGACTCTTGGCAGCTCACGCTGGCTGCCGGCCACTCACGGTAGCTCATGGCAGCCCACTGCAGCTCCACTGCAGCCTATGCCATCGCTGGCGACTCATGGCAGCCCAGCTCCAGGTCGAGCTGTTGTTCACCATCTTAGCTGTAGAGGGCAGTGTCATTGGCCCTCATGTGGGATCCGAACTGGGGTCCTGCTGCTCAGAGCTGGCATCCCAAGCCAGCTCTTAACCAACGCGCCACTCGGCCGGACCCTATGTATGCCCTTTTAAAAATTATTATTCATTATGCTTCCCACTCAGTGGCTCCTTTCAACCAAAAGACTAGTGTTCTGTATTTATTTCATTCTGTGGGCAGTGACTAGAGGGAGCATGAGAGGTTGGGGTGGAAGGATCACACTCTGTTTTTGATCAGCTGCTGGTTACACAGGTGTGTTGTGTTTCCTCCAAGGAGGAAAACAGAAATTTCAAGGGATCCCATTGGGTTCCTGTTCTTTGGACCCAGCCTCTCATCCAGTCTCTCTAATTCTCTCCATCCTGTATTATTTCTTTGATGATTTCCTTCTCTCCATTTTGCCCCTTCTTTCTTCCCAAACTCCAGTTAGTTAGATGCTGAAATTCTTGAATTGGTCCCCTATGTCTCTTCTGTCTCTGTCTCTTTCTCTCCCTCATGTGTGTGCATGTGCATGCATGAGCATTCCAGAGATATCCTTAACTTTAGTTTCCAGGACTTATGTTGAAATTTTTAATTTTAGTAACTACATTTAAAAATTCTAACAGCTTTTTTTGGATTAGCATTCTGTTTTCATAATATTCTATGCTTGTTTATAATCTTTCTGAATATAATAATTCTTTTTTTAAAAGAATTTAATTTTTAGAACTATTTTAGATTTACACAAAAATTGAGAAGATAGTTATAGAATTCCCATATACCCTGCATCCAGTTTCCCCTATTTTTAATACCTTATATTAGCATTAGTTATAATACATTAATATCAACATATTACTATTAAAGGTGATGCTTTATTCATATTTCCTTAGTTTTTATCTAATGGCTTTTATCTGTTCCAGTATTCTATCCAGGATCCCATGTTACATTCAGTTGTCATGCTCCCTTAGGCTTCCTTCAGCTATGACAGTTTTGCAGATTTTCCTTGCTTTTGATGACCTTGACAGTTTTGAGGAGTACTGGTCAGATACTACCTAGGCTTGTCCTTTTTTGGAATGTGTCTTAACATGTTTTATTGTTTGTTTTGTTAGTTTGTTTATGCTTATGAGTAAATGCCAGGCTATACTTCACAATGCCAGGTAAGAAGTCAACTGGTGAATTTTTCTGTATACCAACCTTCAATGAATCCCCATTTCTAACAGTTCTCATCAGATCTGCCAACCCCGACTTTACAGCCTCTCTGGGATGAGCAGCGTGACACAGAGTAGTACATTTCTCTTCTGCAGCCCATACACAGCTCCTTGTTCTGGGCTGTGGTTTCCTTAGCCTGTTTCTACTTTCTATCTTCAAGAAATACTGAAATCTCATATACATTGACTTTTTTTCTCCTCTGTTCTTCACTATCCCATTGGCTTTCATAGGTTTATTCCTTTTTAATTTCTATATTTTAACTTAAGAGGAGTTTCAAAAAATAATGGGAGGAGAATGTATTTATTTAGTCTGTCACCTCTTACCAGAAGACTCCAGAAGTCCACTTCTTGAATAAAAATAAAATTTCTCCTTAAATTTAAGGGAAGGAAATATAAATGTCCACTAACTCAAAATTATAGTTTTGTTGTTATTTGTTTGTAATTATCTTGGTATAGGCTTAATTTATACTCTTGGTGAAAATTTTATTAAAGCTTCTGATGAAAGTCAGGTAAGATCCCCACAGAAAAAGAATTCACCCATATAAACCTTTTATGAAGGGACTATGTGTAGAGCCATGGGCAGGTTATGGAGAACAAACAAGGGAATGGTGAGGCACCGGGGATGAGCAACAGAAGGATGTGTTACAATCCCCAGGGCGAAAGGAACAAGGGGAGGAACAGAGTGATGGGAGCCCAGTAAGTTCAAGAACTGTGGAGAAGCAGAAGCTGTATTACAGAGAGATGTGGTTACTGTGCTGAAGCACAGAGAGGAGAAGAAATGCCAACTTCTCTCTCCTCTGCCCTCCTATCTCTGGCAGTGCTATTCATTGTTCAGACTCAACCAGACGCTAGTCAGAAAAAGATACAGTTTTTAAGAGTCAAGGCAGAACCAAGAATGGATCAAGGGGGTGAGGGTAAGGGGTGGATAGAGAACTGGTATTAGAACTGAATGTTTTATTAGCAATATAGTTCTAATACTTGTGATTTCACAAAATATAAATAGGAATATGTAACATTGGACAATATTACATATAATGGTCTTGATTACATGTAAAAACAATTATTAAGAATCATTCTCATGAGTACTTTTTCAACATCTAGCAGATGATTATCTAAGAATAATCAAGGCCATCATGCAAATTGAAGACAAGCTCGAAGACCCTGAACATAAATCAAAGCCAAACTTCATATTCTGAACCCGAAAAATTGTTACTATCATTAAAAATCTATGTCGTGTGTTAGAAGTCAGGAGTGGTTACCCTAGGTTGGCAGTGACTAGGAGGGAGCATGAGTGGCTTTGGGGGTACTGGTAATGTTTTGTTTCTTGGTCTGGTGCTAGCTACAGAGATGTGCTCATGTTGTGAAAACTCATTGATTGGTGCACTTGTGATTTGTGTGGGGTTTTTTTGTGTGTTTATGATGTATGTCAACAAAACTCTTTTTAAAAAATGATGACAGCCATGAATACAATTTTAGAAAAAACAACTATGTCAGTGTATTTTTCTGCCTTTCTTCGGGCATCCTCACTAATAGTAACAAGGATTTATTGGAAAAACTAAAACAAAGATGTGCATTCAACAGAAATGAAAGTCAGAACTTTGTTTCAGGAATTTATGATTTGCTTAGGAAATGAAATTAAGACATGAAATTAAGAATATTAACAAGCAATATATCAGGCTATGAAGTTAAAACAGAGCCAGTGTTGGCATGTAACTGACTCTCATCAGAAGGCCTAGATATAATCCTCTCCAAGTGGGCTCTTTCTGTTAGAGACCTCTTTCTCTTTGACCTTAATAAAGGTCAACTAGACTACATGCCTGGCTTCAGAATGTGCTTCAGTGATTGCTGTGGGTGGGTGGGTGAGGGGGGCTGAGCGACTCCTTGCTTCTGCTTCAGTGGGAGTAGCGCTGTTTTATCTGTTTTATACTATGGGTTCTGTATTAATTTCCATTTAACGAAAGGATTGTGCTAGTAAAACAAGCTTGAAAACCACTCTTTTAGGAATCTGACCTCTAGATCTGTGTATCTCAACTGACATACTTTGTATGTAAAAAAACTTAAAAAATCTCCAAAACTCTAAGAATATACCCATCTTGAAAAGGAAATGAAAATTACCTGAAGTAAAGGGATAAAATCCTCCTGTTCTAGAGAGCTGCAGCTGGGCTTTGCTAGAAGACAGATAAACTTGGAGGCATCATCATGATGGTTATTCAGCAACCTGTATAAAGAAACAGCTGCTTAGGAAGACTGGCTACTGTGAACAACGACTACAATGTCAACAGCTGGTAATTTCAGTCTGACCTGAAGGCCATTGAGATCAAGAATCAAGTGTTCTCTTTTCAACAATTAAAAACACCAATTTTTTCCCGGCCCGAGCTGAGCAGCCGCTGAGCTGCCAACAGGTGGCAGGATGGCTCAGCTTAAAAAAAACAAACAAACAAAAAAACACTAATTTTTTCCATGCTCTTATTACAATTTTGTCAAAGGGACATCCAAGTAAAAGCTCAACAACAAGAAGGTATATCATTTTTGTAGAATGCTTCTGGGGCTGAGCCTCCAGAGACAACTGCATTAATGCAGGTAACAATACACTTGAAGGAGAATGTCCATTCGGGGTTAGCCCAGAACACCAGGGGCCAGAACTCCAGAGCTACCCACTAGCCAAAGAGGACCACTATGCACCCCGTGACATGTGAATTTCTGTTTGGCCAGGGTGGCAGACATATTTAGGGCCAACCTGAGATGGGGCTTTTGAAATTAGACTTCGAAGGATCAGGCTTAAACAAAAAGGAATACCATAGTAAGTCTTTGAGCTTCAAGAATTCCTCACATCCAATGTCCAATTGCTGGGCATTTCCATTTGGATACTACACTCCGACAGCAAGGTCAAAATATCAAAAACCACATTTATGGACATCTACTTTTGTTAATGCTGGTACCATCCTGAGTTATCTGGGTTTGAAATTTTGAAGTATTTTAAACTTATTTCTCTTCTTTATTCTCTATATCCAATTAGTCTCCAAAATTTCTTGTTTTCCTTCCTTAATCACTTATTGAATGTTAATTATATGCCAGGTACTGTGTCTGGCCTTGAGGATACCTGGGATACAAAGAAAATAAGAAGGAGTTTTGTGCTAAGAAGCTTATAGTCTAATAAGAGAGCTACACCAATAAGGCTATACTCCTGTGCGACAGCCACGACAGCAGTAATAAGCACAGGGTGTCCTGGAAGGAAACAGGTGGCCAATGAGATTCCTGAAAAGGGGAAGTAGGAAAGAAGGTTGCTGTGGGTCTAGAGCAGCGGTTCTCAACCTGTGGGTCGCGACCCCTTTGGGGGTCGAACGACCCTTTCACAGGGGTCGCCTAACACCATCGGAAAACAAAAAGATACTTACATTACGATTCATAACAGTAGCAAAATTACAGTTATAGAGTAGCAACGAAAATAATTTTATGGTTGGGGGTCACAACATGAGGAACTGTACTAAGGGGTCGCAGCATTAGGAAGGTTGAGAACCGCTGGTCTAGAGAGTCACACATACAAATGCCTGGTGTGAGAGTGCATGGAATATTTGAGCAATTACAAGTGCTGGGTTCATAAGAGAAGTGGGCATGGGCATGTAGGATCAGATCCTAGAGTCGCTTTTATGTTAGGTTAGGAAGCCTGGACTTTCGCCTACTCCAGAGGAATTTTAACATGGACAGTGATGTGATCAGATGTGTTTTTCAAAAATATTAAGCAAAAATCCAACTACGGGCCTCAGCATGGATACTGGCAGTGGGAGATGGAAAGGGGCAAATGGTTGAAATAAAAGGACGTGGTAGTTGATAAGTGTGTGGGGGAGTGAGGGAAGGGGTAATAGGGGTAAGTCCGTGATGACTCCCAGGTTTCTAGCTTGGACACCTAGGTGCTTGGAATACAGGACAGAAATACTGGAGACCTGAGGAATATTTCCTCAAAACGATTTGGACAACCATTCCTTCCTTTCCATTTCCATTGTACCACCAAGTCCAGGTCTTATTATCTCATGCTGAGACTGCCAGAAGCGAAGAGGGTTATAACGGCTTCAGTGTTCATCCAACCTTATATCATAGACAATTCTTCATTCTAAAGCGTCCTCTGATTATATAATCCCCCTCTTTCAAAAATGTTCAGTCGCTCTCTACTGCTTATACAAGTAAGTCTAAATGCCTACGTTGGACACTGAAGGCCCTCTGTAATTAGGCTGGAGCCTGCCTGTCTACCTATCTTACACTCCGCTAAATGGAGCTTCCACTCCCGGCTGCCGGCCTGACCCGCTATTCTGAGTGTTTCATGTGCATTCTTGCCTCTGTGCCATTTCTCATGCTGTTCTGCTCTCCTAACATTCCACCCCTCCCTACTTTGCTCTCTGAATGGTGGCTATTCTTTAAGATCCAGCTCATATAACCCACCTCTTTCAAAAAGCCTTCTCTGACAACTACATTCCTTAGTGATCTTTGAACTATTTAATTTATATATATTATTTATAGCACTGTACTGTTAGCTTTCTTTAATCTTGCTGGCACCGAAAGGGAAGGCAAAGTAATAGCTCTTTCTTTCTTTAGCACCACCATAGTAACTTTCACAAAGAAGAGTCTCAGAAAATGTTTGTGATCTAACAGATGTATACTTAAGTGACTTCATTTGTGATTGTTAAAGCTATGTATGATCTTTATATTTACGTATCCTCCTTATCATTCTTCAGCACGCTCAAGGCCCCCAAAGTTACATATACGTTTCAGAAAAAGATTAATGCAATACCTGCTGATGGGAACCACCTCTTAGTATTGGAAAACAGGTGGGTTGATCACAACAAAAAGGCAGTGAGGTCTTTGGAAAGGAGCACTTTATAAAGAAAAGATAGCATTACTATATAAAGCTTGCACAGACGTGACAGAGGAAAGATACTCTGAATGGGAAAAGTTAAATCAGGGCTGGCCTTTTGCAATTAGAAGCATGATATAGAAAGAAAAGGTGAATTACGATTTTCAACCAATGCTATGGCTGGTGAACTCTGTATGGGAAGAGAAAGCAGATAATAAAAGTCGTGAAAGCTGGAGAAAGAAGGTAAACATAGCTATTCCAAACTGGTATGTTCCAGGGCTCTTAAGACAAAATATGGTTTTGCTAATGGACAAATGACATGCTGACATAAAAAGGTAAAAGAAAGTAAAGCATAAAAAAGTTGGAGCAATATTTCTGACTCCATTGAGAAGACCTCTGCCACAAAGCTGGTAATCTAGGAACTCAAACAAAAACGCTGTGGAGCGATGTCTTTCCCCTAAAAATGTCCTGACTGTAAGAAAAATTTATGTCAGAGTACAGATATGAAACGGGCAGTAGGGCAGGGGAAGAAAGGGGGGCAGAGGCAGGGGAACAAGAGCCCACTAAGGTGTCTGTCCACAAACCACTTGGAGGAGGGCTAGGAAGCGTCCACCCGAGAAGCACTGGGACAGGAGGGAAGTTATTTCCCGTTATGCTGCTACTTTTGTATTTGACTTTTTTTTTTCAAATTATATAGAGCCTATTATTGGAGCAAGTCAGCACACACATGTGTATGTCAATATGCTTTAATTCGGCCAGTTATTTTTTTGTACTTGAAAGTTGTAATACACTAGTTTGGTCCAAGTTGCTCTATGCAAAGGGTACTATTCGTAAAAAAATTACAAAAATAAACACATGTCTTTTTCAAGGTCAGTGTGGTAAGGTAACTCGTTTAGTTGCTTAACCTCACCAAATAGCCATAATCGGAGTCTCCCTTAAAGCACCCTGGCTTTTAAAAGACATTTTAAAAGCTCAGAGAGGCGCTTCCACTAGAGGGCGCTCCCACCATTTTAGTATCTGGTCAGAAAATAAAGCTTAACTATAGCCATACATTTATCTATTCATAGAATTTAATGAAAAAAAAAAAATAGGGATAGTTGCTCATGCTATATAACTTCATAAGCAGTTTCCTGCAGTTCCTAAAATGAAGACTTGTGCTTCATGTCTTTTTCTTCCTGCAGAAATCTCTTTTCCCTAGAGATAAAATTAAAATGATTCATCTCAATAAAGGAATACAGCTGTTGCGGCTGCTGCTCTATCCAAAACCATAAATGTCCATCCTATCTCAGTGACACACAGTCTTAAGACAAAAAACCTGGCAGTTACTGTCCTTAACATTATGCAGTTAATTGCAGGTAAATTAAGTTGGATACTAGTTTTCCTTTGCTATGGTCAGCCTCAGGCTCACAAACATAGGGCCCTAGAATATTCAAAACAGCTCAGAATATAAGTGGTTACAGTTCTTCTCTCTGGCTCTAATCGTTTGTAGAATACACTTTTTTTCCCCCCAATCTCCAAGCTTGTTCAGTTTTCTGTTAACTACCATAATTCATTTCTTGCTGCTTTCCCAGATTGTTAGATGGTCTTTGCTAAAAATGCTGAAGTCAGTGGCCAAAGATACCTTGACAAGAGCTGCGCAACATCCCTATTCTTTCTACCCCTGGCTCATTCTCCAGCTGCTGCCTTTTCAGGGCCTGGCACCTACGAGAACAAAAGCAGCTGGCTGAATGAAAGCTAGAACATCTACACATTTTGAGTTCTTGAATTCTGCTACTGTTATATGATGATTTAAAATAACAATAATTCTAATTAATAATAGACCATCGGACCTCCCAGCTGAAGTCCTGGCATTAATGGTAGGGAAAGGAGAGAAAATTCAAGCTAAACCCCAGTGTTCCGGCCGTAGGTTCTACTTTCTTCCACCAGGTTCTAGGCTGCCAGAACCACCCCATGGGAAAATGCCAATTCCTTTGCTGGTTTATTCCTGGATAATTAGTGCTTTTTTGCTATTTCTAGCCTCCAACGAATTCCCTTACTTTTAGGATTGCTTATCTACACAGTAAAAGCAAAAAACATTTCTTAGACTTTATCCCACGGTTTTCCATTTGGTATAGGGGAGGTGGAATGGTGAATATGGTACCGAGTGTCATCCCAATGGTGTATGAGGAATGATTCTCCTATGGCACTTTTAGTCCTTGGCATCTGGACAACTTAGAACTATTCCCTGTAGCAAAATGACTAAAATCCACTTGGAAAACACGAATCATTTGTCATTTTTAGCTGTGGTGTTGTTCTTTAAAAGAAGTCCATTAACTGGTAGTCTTATATATGCTGATTAATTCTACTGCAATGAATGAAGAACTCGGTCCACTCAACTTGCTGCTAGATTTAAAAAAATAAGAATACATTTATTAATCACCGACTATGTTCTTAAGCATTACACTACTAAGGGCTTTTAGGTGGCATAAAGGGATTAGAAGGCAGAATTCTGCTGCTACTGTATGTGGATTTTAAATAATGATGATGAAGGTGAATGGCATTTCCCAAGAGTTTACCAGGAAGAGTATCTAGGCCAGAAAAGGTGAGAACATATATAAAGAAAGCTGATCAGTTAAAAGCGGTAGATGGGGCGAGCTATGACATTCTCTTAAAAGGTATAAATATATTAAGAAATAACTTTTAAAGAAGGGAGGAAAAAAGAAGAAAGCTGGGCTTGAAGAAAACTTGTCAGGATGTAAAAATCCAGGAATGTCCTGATAAATGTACCACTCCTTTGTTCCTTAACTGGAGCTTTCAAAAATTAATGACTAAAATTGATTAGAATTCAGTTATTTTTAATAACTCAGCTAGATATAATTCTAAATTGGATCATATGAGAATGGATGCTGTATTATCATGTGAAACATATGGTCTGCTCCCTTTGAGAGTCTTTACTTTTCTGTCACCACTACAAGAGTCAATTCCTAAGGCTGAACTTTAACAACAAAAACTAAACAGTTTTTAAACAGGTATTTCTGAAGATCTGTCTTACTGATTAGAGACATATAAGATAAAGGCTTATGGAAAGAATTTGTGTGTGGGTATATATGGTTGTGAATCATTGAATTTTACTTGTTGAAATAAATGGTAAAGAAAAAATTAATCAATAAGTAAAATAAGTGAACTTTATAAAGTATGTCAATAGGACCAGACGGTTCTTTGCCTAGCCTCAGAGTTAACTGCTCATATACTTACTTTCTCCACATGGCAATGAATGACTGTGCTGTCACAAATCCTGTCTTCTCTCCCCCTGCAGCCCTGAACATGGGGGCTTTCCAATAGAGAGGACAGCCACAGACCTGCAAATAAAACATAAGGACAGTGTAAGGGGCAGTGAAGAGATGACATGGCCAAAGAAAGGGCCTTTGTGGCTTTTACTCTTCGTGCCACAGTGGACAAAAGGGCCCTTGGGGAAGCAAAACCGGGACAGAGGCAAATATACCAGCAAGGATAGATTCAGAGAGAGACAGAGGGGAAACCAAATAAGATGATTACATGCTTAATGAAGAAAATGGAAATCCATTTACTTTTTCCCCAAGTTCACTTATAGTGATGTTTCTTTTCCCCTATCCTGATAAAGCAACCAGTCTCCCTTCCAACTACTCTTACATCATATATTTTCTACCTTCTAAAAAGAAAAAGAAATGACTGAATGTCATGGTTGTATATGCCCTTCCTTCCTATGGCAGAGAAATACAGCCACCTTTATTACTCTGTCACTTAGTCTTAATACACTCAACCACCTATGTCTTCCCCTCTCTCTTTTGCTTATTATGTTACTAAGCCCCAAGTTCAAGAACCAGAAAAGCCTACACTGTTCAAGAAAATAGCTGTCAAATCTAGTTAAATGGCTATAATTCAGGAAAAAGATGAAAGGTAAAAAATCAAAATGCTATAATTTATTTATATATTAAAAGCTACCACAAATGACTACATATTATAAAAGCCTTAGGAAGAACTGAGAATAAATATAAAACTACAATACCCTAAAAGGTAATACTTTTTGTCTTCTTCAATAAAAAGCTCTTTCTTTCAATTAGAAAAAGTATTCTTACACTCTTATAAGAGTTCTTACCAAATTTACCTTTTTCCTAGAGAGAAAATCCTTCCCTTTTAGTGGTAATATCTAAATATTAGCAGACAAACAGTCTCCAAATATTCCCAATTTTGTATATGCTTGTACACGTAAAACATACTTGCAAATATGGAACCCTTCAAAGAGTCACATCTTATAAAGATATTCTTACTATTCACATTAGATGTGAGATCTGTTGAGCCTTCACCATCCTAAAAAGGGAATCTCTCTTTGGGAAGTTGACTACGTACGAATCCGTATTAGGTTCAGGTAAAGTTACACCTGGTATGAGGCCTTTTTGCATAGGGGGATCCCCACAGAAGATTGAAGAGTACCCGGTCTGCAATTAGTTCTGCTGAGAACACCTCAGGCCGCGGGGCTCATGTCAGAGAGGATATGGAAGGTGAGACTCAAGCCAGGAGAGGGCAGAAATAAGAGAAAGACTGCTCCTGCCAGGGCCACTGAAGCATGTTCTGCAAGCAGGACGGAATTTAAGATTTCTTAGGTCCAGAGGTCAAATACCTCCACTAATGTCGAGAATGAGGGAAAGGTGTTGCTAAGCAACCACATGGATTTGTTTATTGTGTAAATTATGATTGCCAATGTACAAAGCTCACAATTAATATACTTTGGGTTGTAAATGGTCAAATCCACTTTCCCCAATCCCAATCTTCCCTTTCATGCATAATGGTGGCTTGCCAAGAAAATGCTCTTAGATGTGACAGGCTATTGGCGACTGCTGGGAAAGCTGAAAGAAGAGTCTGTATTATGGAGGTGGGGGTGCAGAACCACAGAGAGAGAAAGTACAGGGAGAGATTGGAACTGGCTCGCCGAAGTGCTTGAAACTCCCACCATTAGTCACTCATGGAGTTTTTGGAATTGGAAGGGGTTAAGAATCTTCTAGCTCAATTTTGAGCAGTGGTCACCAGCTCAGCTGAAACACTTCCAAGGGCTGTGTGCTTTCTGCTTCCCGGTTGGCTATTTCCACTGTTAAACTACTTTCATTCCCTTGGATTATGGTCTTTTTTCCATAAGACTCCTGTTAAAATGCACATATGTCAGCTCGTAAGGAGTAGTAAATCACTGAGAGATTAACACTTATAAATTTATTATCATCCAGAGACAAAATCCTAAGAGATAAGGTAAAGAATGGATATGTTTTGAAGTAGATTGGGAAGGGCTGACCTATTTTGCTGTGGGGTACCCTGAGTAAACAAGGGTTAGGCAGCACAATGGTATCAGGCCTTCGGAGAAAATACCAAAGGAAAAATATGAGGGGGCAGTGAATGGCAAGGGCTGTAGACATTGCACTTAGACTATTGAAAAAAAAAAGTATGGCTGGCTGGCAATCTGCTTAAAAACAAAGAACTTAGATAAACAGAATCAAGAAATCAATAAGAACATACAAGTAAGTGATGTTAATCTGAGGGCAACAGAATACAGGCTTTTATAACAGAGGAGGGAAGCCAGTGTGAAGGCTTTTTACAAAGGAAGAGAATGGATGACAAGTGGGAATGCACAGGGAGATACCGAAGATGGGTTTAGGAAATTTAGGCTTAGAGGAGGAAGAGTCAGTGTGTAGTAATCAAAGTTGCTGGAGCCAAGGACACTTGAGAACACCTATAATTTGATTTGAGAAAGGCCTAGCATAAAGAACTAAAGGCAAGGTTGTCTAATAATACACACAAGAAGAGAGGATCACCCAATATCTGCAAATGTTCTTTAACATTTTAAAATGTCTCACACTTGTTATTTCATTTGGTTCTCATGTGATCCCTATGCAGAAGAGGACAGGTATTTTTATCCCATTCTGCAGATGAAGAAATAAAGGTACAGAGGGTACCTGAAAGCCACAGGCACGATGGGTCAAGATGGTGCTACATCAGCCAGAAGAGAGGGGCTGGAGGGCTTCGTGTGGCTCAGAAGACAGCTGCATTTCCCCCCCTCAACTTTCTGCTAGAGGCCCCGTCTCTAACAAATGCTTTCCTTACTGTTCCTCTGTTTCTGTTCCTACACTGCTTTTGTCCTTCTTAGATTCATTCTTGCTTCATTTCTTTTCCATCATCACTTAAAGCTGTGGAAACAAGTACACACTACATTGAGAATTTAATCAGAAATGGGCATTCATCTCTCCAGGGCTGTTTGAGGGAGAGATGAATAAGCTAAACTTCACCAACAGATGCAGATTTCATAAACACACAGTTTTCTTTGCACTTAAAAAATGTCCGTCTCTACAGCTATACTTAAGTGTCACTAAGAGTAAATTGCAAAGTCAAGCTGGCCTTCCAAATAGCTTTATAAATTAGAACAATCCATAAAAATGTCATTTACTGCCCCGACCACCTCTCCCCTTGCTGTCCCTTAAAGGTTGTCTTTCTTATCCCTTTCAAATGACTGGCCTCTCGTGAGAACACAAGCCCATTGAGTGTAAGGGCTGCAGGTGCAGAGTTCACTCCTAGTGGCAGAGAAGACGGGTCTGCACAGCAAAGAAAGCTGAAAATAAGGATGGCTTAGTGAGTGCTAACACATTGCCATAGTCAGGTAAAAGCTGGATTAAATGGGGATTAGCTAACTGTAAGGTGTGATTAAATGCATTTTTAAAATAAATGATTTTAAAAATAAAGAGGCAAAATCCAACAAAATGAACTGGTACAGTAATCCAAAACCAAACAAACCAATATACTCATGATATCTTCTGAGGTCATTATACACATTCTCATTTTTATATGCAATGTTAGTTTTAAGTTTTTAAAGGTATGAACAGTTTACCTTGCTACCTGAACTGACTATTAAGTTCTAAGAGCAATAAAGACCAATGCTTGGCACCCATGAATGAAATTTGTGGCTATAATCAAGTACAATTCAGACCAGTTAATCAGACATTTACATGTACACTGGCTATTGTGTCACATGATTAGGTATTAACAGTAAATTATTATGTAAATGACTTGCTACAGCGTGTTTTCTTTTTAAACTTCTTTCGTTGTTAGCGTCAACACCGGCATTTTTTCCTGATGACACAGATTAATCCTGTCTGTAAACAGCAGTCTTTCCTCTGCCTCCCCAGCATGCAGGTTTCCCTGACTTGACTACACTCTGCCCTACAGCAGCTCCCTGACCATCTGTGGAGTCCTAAGCCTTTCTGCTCTCCTCTCTCAATCCGCTGAGTGCCAAGAGGGCCACTGAACGTGGAGTCCGGGGACAGACAGGCCAGGAAAACAGGCTACTCAGTCAAGGGCTGGGAAATTCATAGGAGCACGGTCGACCGAGAGGACCCAAAACCAAGATAGTGTAGGCTGCAGGTCTCTGACAGTGAGGTACTAATCACTTAGATTGGCTATCCAGATGTGAGCCCAGCACAGCACCAGGAACAACCAAGTCCCTTACTCTGGACAGTTTCTCCTCGTCTGTCTGCCTGTTTCTCAAGCAAATAGCCATTTAGAAATAGTCCATTTGGCATTTATGTGGTTAACATGTTATCTCCAGGTGCAGATTTCGTTCATGCTAAATTCCACCTTTTAGATTTAGATTCATAGTTCCAGCCCATTCAGATAATTTGCCATCTTGGTTCATACAATAGCCATTTCTCAAAGCTTTGGGTAAGAAAATGTCAATGCCCTGAAAGAAGTTGTGATTTATTTGGGGGGATATTAATTTAAAGATAGCAAATAGTATGTTAGCATATGCTCAGGGGAGATAACATATGGTAAAACAGCACAGTGCTAGGTGTCAGAGCACTTGTCTCCTGACATGTACTAGTTCTATGACTTCAGGTTAAGTACTGGTGCGACTTCAGTTTCCTCATACGTAAAATAGAGTGGAAACAGGCGACCTCTTATTTCTAGAATGAGTTTTTCATTAGAAACATCTAAGGGATCAACAAGCAAGTTCTAAGACAGGAAGTGAAGAAAGGGGGAATAGAAGAAAGAATTCCTTTTCATTTCCCTTAAAATAACTCTATTTATAAATTATTTAACAGTAATAGCCAATGTTCCGAGGTTAGAGGTAGGGGAGAGGACAGGGCATGACTGGAGTGGGCAGTCAGGGACTTCTCCAAAGATACGATGGAAGTTAGGTGACATGGGGTTGGCAGGAGGGGAGAACCACGAAAGCCCCAATGCAGGGGTGTGCCTGTGGGAGGACAAATGGGTCAGGCTAACACAGGCAACAGTTTTCAAAATTTTAAATATTATTCCTAAAAGTAGGGGCACCATTCCCAGTGGAAGTGAGCATAAGGTTTTGGGAGCGCCCACGAGGTCTCCTACCTGCCCATGTGCAGCCCTGAGTGTACTAAACAAACCTGTTTCTTGAAGCACAGGCTGAAATCACTGCTCAGTCCTGAGGTATGAGCTGACTCTTCAATATTCATGCATGATAAAAATAAAGCCCAAACAAAAGGAAGCACTGCTGTGGGTGGTAGGAGTCCCTGAATGCTGCTGAGCTGGGGAATGGCGTGATGAAACAGAATGTGATGGTCACGCTCAGTATTAACTGTTCTCAGAGGAGCCTGGAGGTGTCGAATCCAGTTACTGAATATTTTACAGTAGTCTTGGCATTAGGAGCTAAGATCTTAAATTAGAAGCAGTTGGATATATTGGAAAGTATCAAAGACTTGCTTCCTAGTGGAAAATCCATTTATTTCTGAGTAGAATTACAGTGTTGAGCTGGCCTAATGGTTTCTTGTCTGGCTTCAGGACAAAGAGTTATGATTATTGGGTGAGAACAAAAAAAAAGATTTGTATTCGACACAAGGGAAATTTTTCTAACAAGTGAGGCTATATTTAATGATGGAACAGGCTGCTTGGCAAGGTAGTGAGCTTCCTGTCACTGAAAGCATTCAAGCAGAGAATGAATTTATGTGCTGGTGGTGTCATAAATGGAATTCCTATATTAAACGGGAGGCTGGACTGGAAGACCACTAAGTTTTTTTTTTCAAACTTAAAAGTTCCATGAAATAGGACCATAGCTAAACATATCAGGATCAAGTAAATTTTTTCAACATGAATAAAAACAAACAAACTTATGCTTAAAAACAGAGAACAAAGAGGCAGTGAAGAGAGGAGGTTGGGGTTGCTAGAGAACGGGAGATTATACATCATTTAGTAGTCATATTACCTTTGCAATCTTTCCCATTTCATAAATATCTGCTTTCTGATCTTCAATATCCATGAAAGCAGTTTCTATTCTGCTTAGAGTCTGTTCATGGTTACTGCAGGCATCTGGGAGTCCTTCAGGAAAGTAGAACCGTGGAATGTTTATGGACAACGGTGCACTCACAACATTATTCACACGAGGAACAGGGGAGAGGGGCTGGGGAGTACTTGGAAAGGTGGCTGGAGGTGGAAGGGGCGTTCCAGGTTTCTTTTCTGGTTTACTTTGAACCTGGAAGGAAAATGTGATTATGAGATACATCAATTATAAACAGTATATATTTCTTGAAAGTCCTCCCAGTAATAGGAAGTTGGGTACAAATACAAGAAACCACAATTAAAGACACAGTAGAGATCAAGAGCTCACTCTGCTCTAGAGGGCGGCAAGCATGCTGCTACGGAATGCTTCTCCATACTAAACAAATACATGAATCATCTGTCGACACCTGAGTTTACATAGATTTATGCTTAAAAATCCTACAGTACGTTTTCCCATCAATTACATGTCAGACATTTAAAAGCAATGTCAGCTGACATACTAAAGCTCTTGAGGTGTATTCAGTCTGTTGGAATTAGATTGGTAAATTCCTTTAAGACTGTTTTGGTCTTTCTGTGCATTCCCGCCTCTCCTTCAATAGGCAGACAGAATGCATTCTTTTTAAATATATGGATCAAAGCTGTACTGGGGGAGTGTCCTTTCGCCTTCTCTAGTTTGACTTTGTCAAGGCAGAATCACTGCCAGTCCCTGATGCAGAGAAAGTCTTTGTGATGAAAATTAAAGCATTTTCATTCTGGAACGTCTCCTACCAGACTGACTTACTTGCCGTTAGGGGCATGCCATTTTTTCTGAGATACAGATGTCTCTCATTTTTGGTTCGCTCTAATAGGCAAGGATCACAGCCATTCATTTCATCACCGCCAAACTTCCTTTACAGTTTATTAATTTATAGTTTATATCATTCCTTTTCTTTCCAAAAAGGATTTCATGTGGTGTACTAAAGAGATATAAGAAGGGACACTATAAAAGTGGGGGGAGGGTAATGGGGAGATTCATATCATCCATGATTTAAGGAAAGGTGAGGGAGGTACACTAATATTCAGGTAGAAGTTTATTTTACCAATGAAGACTAAATTTAGTTCTGAAATTCCTACAAGAAAAAGTAAAAAAGATTCCATGAAGCTTTTCAGAGTTTTAATTTCTCCTCTTAATTTTGACCAAATTATCTATCAAGACTTATGACCATGGCACTGTATGAGATGCTATATAAAGTATGATACATGAACATGACTGTTAACTAGCTAGATTTAAATTCACTGTGAACATAAAGTATTCCTTGAGTGTTCTTCTTCCTTAAATTATCCTAATGCCATCCCTAAAGTTTGAACAAAAATTTATCTATAAGTAAATCTGAATATATTTCCTTTTGACAGATGCACTTATAACATGATCTTTAGATTCACGATAAAAATCTTAGCTACCTTTGAAAAACGTAAGTATTATAGGAAGATAGGCTTCATTCGCATAATAAATATGTGATGAATATGACTTAATCTCCGACTTTTGTTATATGCGGCCCATTTTTCATTAATACATAGAGTGGAGTCGGCTCATATATTCATACTGCTGGGGATATGAAGACCAGTTGGCCACACCAAGCCTTTGCTGCAGTGTCAAGATGTCACCCATATAAAGAAATAGTCAAGGAAGAAATGGCACAGAGGAAAGTGATGCCAGTGAAATATGAAAAACTTGACAGAAAACAGTGATGGCTTACTAGCTCTGTGACCTCAGAGAAATTACTTAGCCTTTTAGAATTTGGTAATAAAATAGATTATAATTCCTATTTCTTGGAAGGTTGTTGTGAGAATTAAAGGCAATCGCAGGAATCAGGAGTAAGGGAATTACACAGGTAAAAGGTTCAGAGCAGTGCTAGGCACGGATATATCCTTATTTAAGAAAATGAATCACAAGGCCAAAGGGCTCTCAAAACATTAAACATAACTTGGCATGGTTCTTCAGATTCAATAATAAATGTAATAACCATTTATATTTGTGAAGCAATTTAAAGTTTACAAACCACTTTTAACAAACTGATACTCTAAGTAAATATTTCTCTCTGCCTTAATGCTAAATCTGCAAATATTATTACATAGTCCTGTGAGTCCATAACAGTAGAAATTGTTTTTGAACTTCTAAAATAAGGTATAAAAAAATAAGGTATAAAATAAGGTATAATCGGATAATTCTTCAGGGGCTTTACCTAGGTCATTTACATTAGTGTCATTTCTTTCCTGTTATTCTATGCTGGAAGAGATTTGTGAGACTATAAGTACACAAACATCAAAATTCTTTTTTTTGTTTCCCCAAAATGTTCGCTATGGTGTGACATCCCGGGCAGTTATAACCATAGGATTAAGACCACTGGTGCCACTGGGGATGAAACCCAATAGTTAGTGAACACATGCTAGTGGAGAAGGGTTAGAGCAAGGCCTTCATGTTAACTCCGCACTTTTACTTTGACAGAAATAAGTGACATTCAGAGTAATGGCTATCTGTCAAAGTTTTTACCTGAATGAAAAAATATTTGATTATATAATAGTTTATTTTGCTTTCCTTAGTGTACTTAACAAGGAGCAATTCACCGGTAGGTATTTATTAATTCAATGGTTGATTCCATATTTAATAAAACTGATATTAATATTTAAGAGAGAAAAGTAAAAAGAACACTTTATTTTGAACTTTCAGGTGTATCAATTTACTTTCCACTGAATTCAATAGGAGACACATAATTTAAACCTTAAAGTAATTTAATAAAACTGATTCTTGACAAACATTATAAAATACAGTAATAGAAATTTTGCCAGATTTACCAGCAAGTTTAGCATCTGCTCACTTTGAATAAAACTGATTCATTGAAATCTAGGAACAGCACTAAAATAGAATTAGCTGGGTAAAGTAGCTCAATCCTCCCTTTCAGTTTTTCCCTATAAACACAGTATCATTTAGATATTCATTCTGAGTAGTATCCTTATAGTATTGTCATTGTAGCATTTCCAATATTTGACCATTTTTGAGCTATTTTTTAAAAAGCAACTTTATAGTTCAACCAAATAATTTGAAATTACTCGGGGTCAGAATAACTATGAAGCTGTAGTTTCTTGCTGGATTTATATGGCTCTTGATTTGTGTTGTAGTCAGTGTTAGGCTATTTGTCTGGTGAGACACTGGCCCTAATGGGATAGGCAAGTTAGCATGGACTCTTCAGAGGAATTATTGCAGGCAGAAATGACTCAATCTCACAGCTTGCTGAGGAAGGACAAGTTAATTGTCATCCTTCATTACCTACATACATTATGTTACACACACACACAATTGTCTACGTATAAAATTAGCTCTTCCTTCAAAAAAAAAGATCAACAGGATCAGTACTTTAAAACAACATTCATTACAGATGTATGTATGTTAATACAAACATAGCCTATTGATTCAAAGTGCAAACAAGACTTTTAACACAGAAATTCTAGTTTCTCCAAGGTATTTCTATTAAAAATTCAAGTATTCCCCCCACTAAATTATAAAGTATTTAAGTTGTATTTATTGTCTCTAAAACTTGATTCCCTCTGTACAAGAGCAAAATGTGAGTACTGTACTCCAGGTCCAGAAGGTCTATTTTTAAACCTGTTGGAATCTCTCTACAAATAGCTTTCTGCAAATAGCTGAATAGAGGACACAGATTAATTCCTTGATCTAATATCAAGTGAGCTGTAAAATTATTTGTAAGTTAGCTCACTGGGTGGTTTTATTAGTAATGAAAATATTTTGAAAGAAACACCCAAGTATCAAACCTGTGTCTGCTGAAATGACTTCAGCCGCTTCTTAAACCGGGACGGGAGAACAAAATCACAGCCCCTTGCCAGGAAAGCTAACTCTCCCCTTAAATCCGGGTCCCTTCGTAGAGATGTTTCCTTGATCATCATCTTTGAAAAGTGGATGTTTACTTAGCAACTGTCCAGCACACTTCTGAAGACAGATTTAATAAGTTGTCAATCTCGTCAAGTAGAAAGGTTTTTTTCTTCTTATCTCCCAAAGAAATTAAGTTCAAGCATTGTGCTCTCCCAGCCTCCAGAGACCACAATCCATGTTTGTACTGACATGCAGCTGTTTCCCAAGTACAGTCTGTGGCTCCCAGTACCTGATCATAATTTTCAATTTGGAAACCAGCCTGCAATGGGCCTGCTGCTCCTTGTAGGTAGCTTTATGTCAAATTGACCTGCACATGTGGAGAATACAGAGCCTTCTGGGAAAGGAAGCACCCACTACTCTGAGCACCAAAGTTAGAAACATTACAGTGGGCCTAAAAATAGCAACTTCTCAGATAATGCTAACTTCTTAAGCTCAGAGTATGTGAGGTGTCGATCCACATAAAACAGTTTCTCCTCAAACTAGAAGAGAAAGAACATTTAGAGTGTTTTCGATTTTGCTATTTTTTTTAACGAAAAAAGAACAAGCTGCACTTCAAGCTTGAAACGATTATTTTAAGATTGGTTTTTCATTTCTTATTTGAAGGGACGCAAATAGCTAAAACCCCCTAGATAGATCCAGTCAAAATATGGAGAAAAACAAATTTTCATCCTCAAATGGTAGCATACAAAGAGATTCGTTGGTCTCAGATTTAAAAATCAAATCCTTTTCTGTTTGTTTGCAGAAGACTATCTTATTCATCAAGTGATTCTTCTGGATACATTTGAAAATTTATTGTCAAAGTGTTAATTAACAAAGTGGAACAATTCAATGCCATAAGAAAGCAGCTTCAGATATGATACATATAAGTAAGTGCAATTTGGCTACAATAAAAGTACAAAAGCTGATCAAACAACTATGACATAATACATCTTTAATTTGTGAGACTTTTTTTTCTTCAAGGAGCTTTAAACAAATCTCAGGTTTTTTAAATATTCTATTATTTTATTATATATTAGACCTCTGTCTCATATGGTTATTTACAAGTGACTCTTCAAATACTCTTTCATGTTTAATAGGCTTCAATATTTATTTTCAGTCAACCAATTATTCAACCAATATTTATTTTCTACTTCCAGAAAATATAAACCAAATATTACCAAATAAATTCCCAAACCAAAAACATCTTACAATTCTCTTCTGCTGAACTTTAGTCTAATTTAGTGAGAGTTAAATTCTTTGGTTTTCCATTGTTTTCTGCAACTTAAGTC